CCTAGCCATCTCCTGCTAACACATTTTACAGAGAACCACAACAAAGGCAAATAATCATTTCAAAGTCTGCGTCTGGGGCTGGAGAGATGGATCAGCAGTTAAAAATACTTGCTGCTCTTGCAGAGGACCCAGAACCCATATGGCAGTTCACACAACCATCTGTAACTCCAGTCACAGGAGAACCCATGCCGTCTTTGGCCTCTGCTGGCACCAGGCCCATACATGGTACAGACACATTGTAAAACAGTCATGTAAGATAATAAATAAATACTGAACTTTAGGTCTGGCTTCCCAGTGAGATGGACAGCCTTGATGCTTCTCTTCCCATCACCTCCTGCACTTTCCCCTCCTCTCCTCTTCTCTCTCTCTCTCTGTCTGTCTGTCTGTCTGTCTCTCTCTCTCTCTCTCTCTCTCTCTCTCTCTCTCTGTCTCTCTGTCTCTGTCTCTCTCTGTCTCTGTCTCTGTCTCTCTCTCTCTGTCTCTGTCTCTGTCTCTCTCTCTGTCTCCCCTCTTTGTGTGACAGAGAGATTCATCCACACTCAAGGATTCATTCTAAGTCTAAGTTTCATATTTCTCCCCAGTCATTATCTAGGTAACACTCAGCTAAAGGTTTACTCAGAATAAACCATTAGCACTGTGTACTGATGGACTACTGCGGGAGTTTGGATGAAAATGGCCCCTATAGGCCATTGGAATGTTTGGTCCCTGGTTGGTGGAATTGATCAGGAAGGATAATGAGATGTGGCTTTGTTGGAGGAGATGTCACTGGGAGTAGACTGTGAGGTTTCAAAAGACCATACACCCTCAGTTAGCTTGCTCTCTCCTCCCTCCCCTCCCCTCCCCTCTCCTCCTTTCTCTTCCCCTCCCCTCTCATCCCCTCCCCTCTCTTTCCCTCTCCTTTCCTCTCCCTCATCCTCTTACTTTTGGATAAGGACATAAGCTTTAAGCCCCTGCTCCAGCATCATGTCTTCTGTCATGCTCCCCATCATGACGGCCATGGACACTAACCTCTAAAATTGTGAGCCCCAAATAAACGCTTTCTTTTATAGGTTGCCTTGGTCATGGTGTCTTGTCACAACAATAGGGAATCAAATAAGACAGCTACTTACAACATGTTCATGCAGATTCCTTTCTATAGTATGAAGTGCAAATGGGATCTTAAAGAATTTCGAGTACCTCTATCTGTCTCTTCTCAAAAGGATTAAAGTTAGCCCAAGAGACTTCTGGCTCTGGATTCACAATATTCCAACCCCCACACTTGAATTTCTAATGAGTCAGTCTAATGAGTCAGAGAGTTTATAAATCTCTAACACAGGTGTAACACTCTATTTCTGGCAGGTTTTGTTCACAGGATCCCTATCTCCTGTTTTCTTATTATCTAAGCACTTCTCGGTCTCTTAAATGTCTGTTCTCACCCAAAATACATTTGCTCAGAACTAATCCTGAGCCTGCCTGTTCCACACCCCTCCCCTTCTTTAAGCCTACCCCATCTTACAGTTTCAAATATCATAAAAGCAGAGCTGGTGAGAACGACTCGATGGGTAAGGGCACTTTCCACACAAGCATCGCAACTTGGGTTTGACCTCTGGAATCTATATAAAGGTAAAAACAGAAAGACAACTCCACAAAGTTGTCCCCTGACCTCCGTACACATGCAGTGGCCTCTCTCACTCTCTCTCTCCTCTCTCTCTCTCTCTCCTCTCTCTCTCTCTCTCTCTCTCTCTCTCTCACACACACACACACACACACACACACACACACACACACACACACTTCAAATGTACCATAGAAATGCTATTACACTCTTTCTTTCTAACTACAATACGTAAGGGTCTCTGAGTGTCAGCTCCCTCTCTGATATCTCAGACCTCACACAGGCATCTTGAATCCAACGCCTAGAGCAAGACGTATGATTGCTTGTTCCCACCACACACAACACTAACCATTTTTTCCCACCCTCTTCCTCCAGCATCCTCAACACAGCACACTAGACTGGGAAGCAACCCAAGTGTGAAGTCACCCCTGATTTCCTTGTCTCCCCATTCTCAAAGCCCAGCAAGTCCTCTCCACGCTAATTCATTTCCAGTTCAGTATTTTCACCATGTCGGCTGCTACCCCCCCGATCCAGTCACCTTTTACTACTTAAGTCCTAGCATGCTCCCTGGCATGACTTCTTCCATCCTCTCCATCTTCCCAATTACACATAACAAAGGTGCAAATAGCACCAAACTCTTGTATAATAGCTCCCTTTCTGATTCTAGGTGTCCCTGTTTGCTCTCTGTCGCTGTGATAAAATACCATGATTAAAAGCAACTGGGGGGAGTGTGGTGGTTTGAATGAGAGTGTCCCCCACAGCTCAGGCATTTGAACACCTGGCCCCCAGTTGGTGGCATTGTTTGGAGGTGCAGTCTTGTTGGAGGAAGTATGTCACTAGAGGTGAGCTTTGAGGGTTTAAAGATTCATGCCATTTCCATTTTGCTCTCACTGCTTCTACTTGTGGGTCAAGATGTGAGCTCAGCTTCCTGATCTTGCCACCACGCCTACGTTTATTGCCATACCTTTGTTCAGCACCGCGTACTCTTACCCACCTGGTACTGAAGCCCAAATAAACTTTTTCTTCTATAAGTTGTCTTGGTCTTGGTGTTTTATCACAGCAACAGAAGAATAACTAATGCATGGAGGAACATAGCCATTTAGCTTGCCCTTCCGAGTCACAGTCCATCATTGAGGAAAGTAAGGGCAGGAACTCAAGCAGGAACCTGAGGCAGGGACTCAGGCAGAGGTCCTGGAGGAATACTGCTTACTGGCTTGCTGGCTTGTGCCTCGTACTCATAAAATTGTCAAAGAACAAAATTTCTTAATAAAAAAACTAACATTTTAGTTACCTTCTAAAAGAGAACCGTAACTATCTGCCTGACCTTCCATTATGGCCGTAAGGTTTCTAACCCATTTGCTTTTGTACAGTCGTAGTGCTCCTTGAAAAGGTGATTAGCATCCCATTCTAATGCCTCTTCCCTGGCTTCTCACCACCCTTACGACGAAATGTGCTCTCCCTGAACTTTACCAATAGATTGACATCATTCACTGTCTCTTCAATGACTACCTCTTCACCAGCCTCCTTTCAACACAACTTCTAGATTTCCTCTCTGCCTACACACATTCACTGTTCATTCATTCACTCTTTGGGGTTTTCTGTGTTACCCAACTAAAATGTATGTATTGCCGTTGAGTGATCTCAATTCAGGGCCTAGCACCAGTGCTTACTAGATATCAATTGAATAAATAACCAGATTCCATATTGTTTGATATGTCTATTATATTATTCAGTCCTCAAAGCATCCATGTATGATAATTATTAATATTTGAAACTTACAGATGAGGCAGAAAGGTCAAAGAGGATAACTTTTCAAGATAATATAACTTACAAAAATGGGTTTGGTTTGAATTGCAGCATCATCTAAAACCGAAGTTGGCCTATTTCTTCTATATACTATGCTTATATTAAGAAAATTATTATATAATAATATGAATGAGTAACATCCATAATTAGGAAAAGGAAAATACAGGTTGAGGAGAATACCTCTCTTTTCCATGGATTTATTAAAGATTATTTTTACAACTTAAATATTATTTTGAATAATATACATGCTTCTAATTTATTTAGAAAGTCCTTTTCCAAGAAAATAAAATTGTACTGTATAATAAATAAATATTTAAAAATTATATTCTATCATTTAAAACCTCAATTTTAAAGGAAATAATTTCAGAGGTTGGCAAGATGGCTCAGTTGGTAAAGGTGCTTGCTGCCAAGCCTGATGACCTGAGTTCAATCCCTGGGATCCACATGGCAGAAGAAGACCACAGACTCCCACAGCTTGTCCTCTGATGTCCATACACTCTCTGTGTCATGAATGCAGCCATGCACATGCATATCTACAAAACTAAATAGGATGAAAAATTTAAGAGAGTCATTTTGGAGTAGATTTCTCTCTACAAATATAAAAATATTGCATATGTAAGCAAACAGGATTATTAAAGCATAAGTCTAAAATATTTACTAGTAGGACAGGCGGCAGAAGACAAACAGATATGTGATAGAGAGGTGGGTAAGACAGAAAAATAGAGTGGTATGTGCTCTGTGGAAAGGGGCGGAGCTAGAGACTGAATAACAGTGAGGACCAGGCTGATGTGGGTGGCCTGCACTGCCACCTGAGGGCATGGTGATGTCCATGTCCATCCCTGCTGCTGTCCAGGGCCATGTCTGGGTCCAGGGTCCTACTGCATCTGGGGTCTGTGTTGATGTCCATGGCCCATGTTGCCACTGAAAGCCAGCAGGTATCTCTGGTCTTTGCTGCTGTCTGAAGCCATGTTGATGTCCTTGGCCCAGGCTACCTCCAAGAGCCTTGCCAGTGGCCATGGCCATAGTCTGTCCTGTCACCAGAAACCCATTATCCATGCTCCCATTGTCTATAAATAGCAGGGAAGCTACTTTTGCAGTGATATCAATGACTGCAGATGCACAGTTGAGAAAGAGGGACGGGAAAAGTTTTTGTGACAACCTCTACCTTCCCAACTGTCCTGCGCCCCCAAAAAGTAAAACAGCCTAAACAGGAAGCCATCAAAGAGAACTCTTAAAAAAAAGTGTGATAAGGATGCTGAGGTTAGCTCTCCAGATTTGGGGTATGGGAGAGGAATGACTCAGTTTCATTTAAGGGACAGGACACTGAGAGTTTGACCATACTCCAGGGAGTATATAGATGACACAAATTGGACTTGGATTTTTAAAATTTTTTAAATTTTTATTCTTTTTTTTTGTTTGGGGGGGCAGGAGGTCTCAAGGGTGGTGGTAGACCATGGGCTGGGAACTGAGTGTGACGGGGTGCATGATGAAATTCTCAAGGAATCAATTAAAATGTTGTGTTAAAATATTAACTATTAGTAGAAAAATTAGAAGTAGTTATTTTTTAATTATTTTTTTTTGTGTGTTTGGATTTCCTTAGAACCAAAAGGAGAAAATCTAAAATTGAGTCCTATATCTCTTCGTTTTCTTAAGGATAAAAATGAGGTGAGTGTAATTTGCATATTTGTGACTACTTAACAGTTATTTAAGCTAGTTCAAATAACTTTGTTTCTATGTATCACAATTAAAGTGAAGTTTAGAATCCAAAAGTACAAATGTAAAGCAATTTCATCTGATGTGATATGAAGTCTTATGTATGAAAACAACACAAAAATTATGCATAAGCTAAAACTATGCACATCTAATTTAAACATTTACTTAAACTTATAAACACATAAGCCTGTTGATCTTTTCATGTGTAGCTCAGGCCATTTTTTGAGCTATGGTTAGATAATACAATTACAATAACTACCAAGAATAGGTTTAGAATCAACCAATCACTGAGGGGGCTTCACCTGCATTTGGAAAACTTGCCCTCTTCAGACACCTGGCCACTATTCAGCAGGCCATACCTAGGGCACTAGAGAGATAAGTTAACCCAGAGAATCAGCGAGGGGAAACTACTTTAGAGTCTTCTAAGTCTACATTGATTTGCTATTAACTGAGTATTACTGACATGGAGAAAGAAACATGAAACTATGCATGCTTAGTGATGATCATTAGTATCTATTATTTTTATCCTTCATGGGGCGGGCAGTATTGGTATTGTATTGAGCTTAAAGCTTCATGAGTTCTAGGCAAGTCTTCAACCACTGAGCTATGCCCCCAGCCATATACCTATTCTTTTTGTTTCACATTCCTAAATTTTAAAATTAAAAAAGCTTTAATAGTATCCATGCCCCAGGTTATAAGTTTATTCTTATCTATGTGTTTAAATCCCTGCTAAATAAAAACCTCCCAAGAAATATATAACATCACAGTTTGCTCATCATAATAATTTACTAGACATGTTAGTTAAAATATTAAATATTAAATATTAAAGCACAATTTTAATGGTTAAAATTAGCCAGGACCTTCTCTTTATGAGTATTATTCTACATGGACTTGAGGGTGTACCTAATGTCTTAGTTTCTTTTCCTAAGGCTATTACAAAACACCATGACAAAAAAAAAGGGGTTTTCTGGCTTATAGTTCCAGAGAAATTCAGTGTGTCACAGTAAGGGATACAGGGCAGGAAAGGCATGATGGTAGCAGAGACTGGTTGCTCTCTGAATCTACTCTCAAGAAGTAGAGCATGAACATGAAGCCTCTACTTCCTCCAGTGAAGCTCAAACTCCTGAAGGCTTCCCAAACAACACCAGCTACTGGGCTTACATGTGAGCCCGTGGGAATACTTCCTATTCAAGCCACAGCAGCTTGGCATGGCAATTTTACTTCAAACAATTCTATTTTGCGCTCAGTGGACCGTGACTTAAGCTCAAACACATAAGTATGGGTCCCCACAGAGTACAGAAGAGGTTGCCAGGTCCCCTGGAGATGAAATTACATAAAGACAGTTGTGACGCTCCAAATATGAGTGCTCGGAACTTAGGTCCCCTGAAAGAACAGTAGGTACTCTTAACCACTGAGCAGTCTCTCCAGCCCCTTGAGGGGCTGTAAAGTGGCTCAATGTGGTACTTAAAATAATTCCTTGTGCTTTTTGTTTAGATAAACAATGGTGATGTTGAATAAAATTACATTAATTCTGATTATTATCTTTTCATTGTCATTCACTTTGAAGAGAATGTTTTATTTTCTAAGATTTCTTCATTGAGTTGTATTGTAGAATTTTCACATATTTAAATTTTTCCAGATATATAACAATATTTGATATCTAGTTTAATTCTATTTTTAATCAAAGAACATATCCTGTGACATTTCAAGCCTAAACTTTCTGTTAAGACTTGTTGAGGTTGTATATTTAAGAATCCTTAAATGTTTATAAAATACAGCCTCACATAAGTACTAAATATCAGGTTTTTTCACATGAACATGGTACTTTCAACATCAGACCATATGTTAAGCCTTTAAACAAGTTCCTGCCCAGTTTAAGTTCCTTCCCTGACTTCCCTCAGTGATGGAAGGGCTGTGCTGTGAAACTATAAGCTGAAATAAACCCTTTCCTCCCCAGGATGCTTTTGGTCATGATGATTGATCAGAGAAATAAAAACCCCAGCTGAGACAGAATTGCTTTTATTTATGTAACAGTTACTTTTAATTAGAATGATTAGCTTACTAAAATTTAATGTAGTTATCATAACTGGTAGTAGTTCAGCCTGTTATGTTATTTTTTGTTGTTCTCCTGATTAGTTACATTTCTTGTTGCTGAAAGAAACAATTCAATGAAGGAAGAAAAGATTGATTTGGGTTTGTGGTTTAAGGAGAGGTGGGCCACCACCATGAGGAAGGCATGGCAGCAGAAACTTGCTCAGATCTGGGCAAATCAGAAATCAGAGCAAGGGCTGGAAGCAGATCAGCCTAGGGGCCTCACCACACAGTGACTCAGTTCTTTCAGCTAGGCCTTACCTCTTAAAGCCATGGTTCTTAGTCTGTGGAAGGGGGTCACATATCAGATATCCTGCATATCATATATTTATAATTCTTAACAGTAACAAAATTACAGTTATGAAGTAGCAACAAAATAATTTTATGGTTGGGGGGTGGGAGGGGGTCCGCTACAGCATGAGGAACTGTGTGAAAGGGTCACAGTATTAGGAAGGTTGAAAACTGTCTTACAAGTTCCACAACCTCCCAAAAGAGCATCACCAGCAGGGGACCAAATTTTTTGAAACAAATGAGCCTGTGGAGAACATTTTCACTCTAAACCATAACATTCCACTGCATTCAATGAAGCCTCAAATATCCCCAGAGTCTTACAGTTCTAATACTGCCCAAAAATCTAGAGTTTCTTCTGAGACTCAAAGTAATTCTTTAAGTGTGGACCTTTATTCCCAACATACAATGGCATAGGATAAAAATGCCTATCCCAAATGCAACAGGAGGATGGCAAGAATTAATTGGATCAAAGTAAGATTGACACTCAGTAGCGTGAACTGTAGTGGGTAGCCATTCCAGCTTTGACCTGGAAGTTCCAACCCCCATTGAGGCTTTGGCAACTGTCATGCCTACAAGGCAGAGCCAAGGGAGGCGCTGAGAGACCCGAGATCAGGATGGGCCAGTGCTCTCTCTGTTCCAGGACCCTGAACGGTGGAGGTGGACCGAGCAGAGCTCCAGAGAACACCGCTGGACTGCGATACACCTTCCCCAGACATTAAAAAAAAGGAGATTTTTTTTAATGTTGTAACATAAATTAAGGGATAGGTAGGTCGCGGGTTCTGGGGAAGGTGTATCGCAGTCCAGCGGTGTTCTCTGGAGCTCTGCTCGGTCCACCTCCACCGTTCAGGGTCCTGGAACAGAGAGAGAGCGCTGGCCCATCCTGATCTCGGGTCTCCAGGCACCTCCCTTGGCCCCGCCTTGTAGGCATGACAGTTGCCGAAGCCTCAATGGGGGTTGGAACTTCCAGATCAAAGCTGGAATGGCTACCCACTACAGTGAACACCGAACCCTGTAGCTCCACGTCTACTACCTGGAGCTCTTCTAGTCTCCAACATCCTTTGGGTAGCCTTGCCTTCAGCTCTATTGCCTGGTATGGATGGCATCTCTCTTGGGCTACTTAGTGCCTGCAACTTTCCTCAGGAAACATCTTATGTGTCTAGTATCTCCAATATCCCAGGGATATGACCAGACCCTTTATGAGCTCCATGAAGGGAATCCAACTTTCCTATATAATACCTAGTCTCAGTGATTCTTTGGAACCTTGGTGCAGGCTTCCATGATCACCCCACCCTGCCACCCTTTCATCCTTCATGACTGAAAAAAGCAGCACCACATGGATGATATCATGCTCTGCTGCTCACAAAAGATGACTTCTTGCCTCCTTTTAAGGTTGCAGTACCCTTTGAGAACATGCTTGGCTGAATTTGGGGAAATATTTTCCTAATAGGCACTGCCTGAGTAGCATTCCTAGCAGTCTCTTTTGGCTTAGGCACCCTGTGTTCAAGTGAAATCATTTCAAATGTGTTTTGTTGCTACACACTGGAACTTTTGATGAGTTGGGTCTTATACTTAAGGCACTTTATCCATTGTCTCTGTGCAAAGTGGGAATTTTATCCATAATTGTGCTAATCTTTAAAATTACAAACACATGCACACACCTTGTCCACAGTTGTAATGATGCCTATGTCCCATTCCTCATCAAATCGAACACTGTTCATATAGCTCTGCTACAGTTTTTAATTTATTTTGTGCTAATTTTATTCATATATGATATCTTCCCACTCATTTCCCTCTCCAACTCTCCCCAGTTACTCCCAACATCTCCCCCTCCCAACTTCATGTCCTCTTCTATTATTTTTCAAACCACTGATTCCAATTAGTTCTGCCCAGTTATGCATGGTATGGGGCCATCCATGGAAGTATGTAAAACCTACCAGTGACCACAACCCCACAAAAGAATAATCTTTCTTCCTCCCACAACTATAAACTGCCAATAGCTCCTTGGTTAGCGACAGAACCTTTTGAGCTCTTCTCCGACCCACACTAGGATTTGGGCTAGCCACACTAGGATTTGGGCTAGCTTTATCTTGTACAGGTCTTGTGCAGGTCACCACAGATGCTGTGAATTCCTGAGTGCAATAGCCATGCCAGAATTTCCTAGCTCTCCTCTGCATCCTACAGCTCTTAATTTTTCCCACTTCCTCTTCCATAGTGTTCACTAAGCCTTGGTGGGGGAACAGATACAGATCTCTTGCTTGGGACTGAGCATTTTCTCATTTATTCTCACTACTTTGACCAGTTATGCAGATGGGCTGCTACACGCTGCAAAGAGAACCATATCTGACCAAGGTTGAGAGCAGAATGGATCTATGACTATAAATATAAATATATAAATAATATAAATATATTATTTATATAAATATAAATAATATTTATAAATATTATTTGGGCATGCTTATTTAATTTCTGCTGTGCTCTCTGCTCTGAACTCTCTTTCTAACCCTTAATAAATTCAGTGACCAGTAACTATCCCACACCCTAAGTGCTAGGGGGTTTTGAAATTTGTTCCA